CCACCCCCAGGGCCCAGGACACTCACCTGCATAGCCACTGGTGGTCTTGGTATGGATACTCATGTTCTGCATGCCAGACTCCAGCCTGCACCCAGACACAGGGGATGTCAGGACCAGCTCCTGGCCCTTCATGTCCCAGAGCAGGACCCAAGTCCCAAGGGCCAAAACAACCCCCACCGGCCGATCCCAGGTCCCAGGGACGGGAGACAGGTGCAGTTAGAGAGCCCCACACCCACCGACTCTCCTCGCCCTCCAGCAGCTTTCGGTAGGTGGCGATCTCGATGTCCAAGGCCAGCTTGACGTTCATGAGCTCCTGGTACTCGCGCAGCTGCCGCGCCATGTCCTGCTTGGACCGCTGCAGGGCGGCCTCCAGCTCGGCCAGCTTGTTGTTGGCGTCCTTAACGGCCATCTCCCCACGCTGCTCTGCATCTGCGATGGCAGCCTCCAGGGAAGCCCTCTGTCGAGGAGGAGGGACAGGTAAGCAGCTAGAGTCTGTGCCTCCACCCCTGAACTCACCCTCTCTCTCCCCTGCTTTAGGGACCCCCCCACCCCAACCCAGACTGACTGACCCCCACCCAGCTCAAAAAAGATACTACCATGACAGGAAAATATGAGCAGCTTCTGGACACTTCTCTTCCACACACTTCTCACCTGTGACACTGTAGGGGTCCCCCTTACCAGTGATACTGAGAGGTCCGAGGTCCCCCCACCCTCACTGGACTGCATCTCTGGATTCTACGCTTTCCTTAAAGCAGCAGAGCCCACACCCTGATACATAAGATGGATTAAACAAAGCAGGCTTGGGGGTGCACCCAGGACCCAGCCTGCTGCCCCAGCATCCTTTCACCTGACTTGCTCAGCGCCCCTGGTTTCCCAGGAGCAGTCTGAGAAGCTGGACCATGGCTGCCCCTCCCAACTCCAAGCCCTGGTCTAGAATGCCCTTCCTAGCCCCCAGCTGACCCCCAGGTCCCTCACACCTCCCTATTGTCTCCTCTTACCGGAGGGAGCCTCTCCCACCCCCAGCCTGGCCGTACCTGGCCTTTAAGACCCTCGATCTCAGCCTGCAGTCGGCTGATGTTCCGGTTCATCTCGGATATCTCCGTCTTGGTGCGACGCAAGTCATCCCCGTGCTTCCCGGCCAGCGTCTGCAGCTCCTCGTACTGCAGGGGCCAGACAGGGAGTGAGGATTCAGAGGGGACCCCCGCCCCCCAAGACGCTCTCCACCCGCAGCAGAGTGCCCCATCTCCCAGGCCAGCAGAGCACAGGTCATCGGAGCCCCATCCCCTACACCACGCACACATGCATGCACCGTGCACACACGCACACATGCATGCACACCCCTGAAGGGCACCTTCCAGACCTCCAGACCCTCACTCCGCAGGCCCGGCTCACTGCGGGCAGAGGGGCCTTTGCCACCCTGCTGCCTCCTCATGGACTAGGGCACAGACTGTCCAGAAGGGGAGGGCGACCTAGTGACCCTGCTCTTCACCTTGGTCTGGTACATGCTCTCGGCCTCGGCCCGGCTGCGGTTGGCGATCTCTTCGTACTGGGCACGGACCTCGGCAATGATGCCGTCCATGTCCAGGGAGCGGCTGTTGTCCATGGACAGGACCACGGATGTGTCCGAGATCTGGGACTGCAGCTCACGGATCTCCTGTCGGGGGAAGGGGCTGGGGTGAGGCTCTGGCCCTACACACAAGGGGCCCCCTCTTGCAGAACAGCGTCCCTTGGGGTAAGACAGGGCAATGGGAAGAGAGGAGCAGGGGGAGTCGGGGCTGGGGAAAGGCAACCACATTCCAGTGTCTCTGAAGGAAGCTGGGTCAAAGACCGGAAACATGGACGGAAGGAGGAAAGGAAACCGGCTTTGAGTGGCCAACCCAAGGGAAGACTCCAATACTAAGTACACAATGGGACCCGACACAACTCAAAGACTGGGCTGTAGGGACAGTGGCAGCAGGACCACCGCTCTGTATTTTCTCATCTGTGAAATGGGGCAATAAACCTCCCTCGCACAGGAACAGCATATGGAATATTAGCTGGGTGTGTATTAGCAGCGGTCATTCTCCAGCCGTGGGCCCTCATCCACTGGTGCGCTGGGGGCTGGGCCCCAGGGAGGGGGTGCTGGCGGGGCGGGGGACCCTCACGCTCCAGCCCCCACGAACGTACCTCCTCATACAGCTGCCTGAGGAAGTTGATCTCGTCAGTCAGCCCCTCCAGGCGAGACTCCAGCTCCACCTTGTTCATGTAAGCTTCATCCACATCCTGGGGGGAGGGGGGGCCTGAGCTGTGTGGCCTCACCCACCCCAGGCGAGGGGCTCCCCAAAGCCTACCAGCCTCTGCTTCCTGCAGGATCCCCTCTTCCACCTTCTCCTCCAGAAAGCCTTCCATGGCCAGACCTCTCCTTCTTCTTAACCACGTCCCAATATGACGTCCAGAGTTCTGGCCAAATGCACCCAACTACCACTCTGCCTTTGACTTCCTTTCTGTGCCATACCTCTAGAAGGCACTCATATATTGAGTTGGGCTAAAAGAGCGTGTCCCATTACTTAGCAACATTGAGGGACAGAACCCAGAAAGCCTCTTTGTCTAAGTCTCTAAGCCCTGTGTCTGGATGGTGAAGAGAGATTCCCTCACCTTCTTGATGAGGACAAATTCATTCTCCATCTCTGTGCGCTTGTTTATCTCATCCTCGTACCTGGTGAGGAAAAGACTCAGAATCAGAGGATGAAGGCAAAGGGGAGGCGGCCCTGGATCTTCTGAGGAAGGCAAGAGGATCTAGAAAATTCCGTTCATGGAGATGCAGGGTGTGAGAGGGCTGGTCCTTCTGTCTTCACCAGCTACCCTATCTCCACTGCCTCCCCGTCCTCAGCCAGCAGAGAGGCCCAGGAAATCTCCCTCCAAACCCATGAACATATTGGATTGGGCATCTTGGGAAGGTTAGCCCCATGGCCTGACATGAGACCTCAGACAAAACTTTCTGGAGTTTGCTAGAGGTCAGGGGTCAAGAATACATAGAGATCAGAGCTGTAAGTATAAAAGTGAGGCCTGTTTGCTATCTACCTCTCCCATCTTAGGCTTACTACATAAACACATAACTTGTTGTCCAAGCCTGGGCAACATAGCAAGACCTCGTCACTACAAAAAAATTAATAAATGAGTCAGGCCTGATGGCGCACACCTGTAGTCGCCAGCTACTGGGGATGCTAAGGCAGAAGGATCACCTGAACCCAGGTCAAGGCTGCAGTGAGTCATGATCATAACACTGCACTCTTGCCTGGGCCACAGAGTAAGTCTCAGATTCACAAAGAAAAAATTGTCTAAATCCAGATACTTGTGAGATTGAAAGGAGGTGAAAGGGTAGGTACTATAACAATTATGCAAGGCCAGGTGCAGTGGCTCACGCCTATGATCCCAGCACTTTGGGAGGCCGAGGTGAGAGGACTGCCTGAGCCCACGGGTTCGACACTAGCCTGGGCAACTTGGCGAGACCTCGTCTCTACTATAAATCAAAAAAATAGCTGAGTGTGGTGGTACATGCCTATATTTCCAGCTATTTGGAAGGCTGAGGTAGAAGGATCGCCTGAGCCCAGCAGGTCGAGGCTGCAGTGGCCATGAGCATGCCTCTACACTCCAGCCTGGGCAACAGAGTAAGACTCTGACACAATTTAAAAAAAAAAGAAAACACATACACAATTATGCCAGGACAGTGGGGCTTAAACAGACCGTCCTGAGCAAACCTGATCAATGGGCACCCTAATTACACGAGCCTGCATCGTCCACAAGCAGAAGGCCACAGGGGCTGAGGCCTCTGGTCCCGAGGGTGGAGTCCGTGGGTGGACGGGGCCTCACTTGTTCTTGAAGTCCTCCACCAGGCCCTGCATGTTGCCCAGCTCTGCCTCCAGCTTCAGCTTCTCTTGGCCCAGAGTGTCCAGCTGCCGCCGGAGGTTGTTGATGTAACTCTCGAACATGTTGTCCATGTTGCTACGGGCCGTCTTCTGCTGCTGCAGGAGGCTCCACTTGGTCTCCAGCATTTTGTTCTGCTGCTCCAGGAACCGCACCTGGACGAGGGAGGAAAGGCCAGAAAGGTTCACTTCCAACCAGAGCTCAGGGTCCGGAGGAAAGTAGGCACTGTTTTTTCCCCTAATCCACTCCCCAAGCAGTGAGGCCTCCAGAACTCAGGGAGCCAGCTGGCTGTTCTAGAAGAATTACCCATGACTAGGTGAAATGGTGAGTAGGGAAGAGCAATTTAGGAGCAGGAGGTTATGGGTGAATGGAGGCAACTGGAGAGTCACTAAAGCTGCATTTGCAAAACAGACAGGTCTTATTTATATTGTATATTACAGTTCAATAAAAAATAGAGTGAGACTCCAACTCAAAAAAAATAAAATAAAATAAAAATAAAAATTTGTTTTTTGAGAAAGCAGAATTTATTGAGAGGATAGAAAAGCTCTCAGAGTGGGAGGGGACCTGAGGGGGTTGCCCTACATTTTTTTTTTCTTTTTTTCCTAGGTGGAGTATCACTCTGTCGCCCGGACTGGAGTGCAGTGGCTGCTCCCGGCCACCGCAGCCTCAACCTGCTGGGCTCCAGCGATCCTTCCGCCTCAGCCCTCCAAGTAGCTGGAACTACAGGCGTGCGCTACCACACCTGGTTACTTTTTTTGATTTATTGTAGAGATGAGGTCTCGCCAAGTTGCCCAGGTGGGTCTCGAATCCGTG